TATATATATATATATATATATATGTATATACACATATCGTAAATATTGCACAAATGGATATGACAGCATATAATATAAAATAAATGCTTATAATTTTATACTTCATACAAAACTAGTGTTCAAGTAGATATGAAAATCTCTATTTCAAATATGTTTTTAAAAAAGTCATTTTTAAAACAGAAAAATGGAAGGATGCTTACGGGCCTTTCCTTGGGTATCTTTCCTTCAGCTTCCAATTTAGCACGGGCTTGTCGACGCTTTAATATCCGTCTGTATTGTTTAGCGTTCACATACAGCGGTTCTTCTTCAAGAAGTTCAGCATTAGGCAACGCTACTCTTTGGAACTGTGTTTGTCCGCTGTTACCTGGTACCATCTAATTACAAAATATGACACAATTAAGTAATTATTGTAATTAACCCTAGACTACCACACCTGGGTAAAATTTACCCGGACCATTTTTGAAGTGCGTGCCATTCCAACAGGGTTGAAGAAGTAGGGTCGCGATGTGGGGGGAAAAAATTTACAAGTGTCCTCTACAACCTTCCATCATAAGCCACGTCATTCCACTTGGTATTGCCATTCCAGCCACGTGTAAAATTCGACAATCGGTCTAATTCACTCGGTCAAATAAATGTTTTTTAAAGTGAAGTCATATAAGGTATTTTTCTTTTGAAAATACTCTTCTTTTAAAAACTTTACTTTTTTTTTATTCGCCTCTGAAAAGAACTGCGATGTAAAAGAAAAATTAGCCTTTTTCAAAAAAGATATAAAAGCTGATTTACATTTTTGCAAATTGTTTATGTCTTCCTTAAGATCTTTGAGTGTTACTATCCGTTCAGTCACCTTTCTTACTGTCTGGCGTATAGATTAAAAAAAAAAAGTTCTAAATTGATGCGTTTGAACCGAAGTTATGCAACAAAATAGGTAGGCCGGGTAAATTTTCCCCAGTGTGGTAGATTTGGGTGGCAAATATGGTGTAGTCTAGGATTAATAATGCTATTAATTATTCCTAATTCTCAAAAAGTTCATATATGTTAATAGAAACAATAACGACATATACACATAATATTATATAATATTATGATTATTGCAGGAATTAATATAAAATGTGTATATTTAAAATATACTTGATGTCTGATAATTATTGGCAGAACGCTCGTGGGTAAATAGAACGGACTGAATAGTAAAACCCCGTTACTATTTTGCGATTCTCTCACAATACTTAGTTAACGAGAAATCAATTTATAAAGCTCTACACGTCAGTGTACAATTCAGTAACAAGAGATCTGGCATTTACGATTTCTTGGCCAGCGACGTAATGGACGCATGTTAATTCGCAGATTTTTATAAATTAATTTCTCAATAACTATTGCGAGAGAATCATAAAATGAAATATAACTTTTTTTTATTTAGTTTAAGACGATGCTGGACAGCTTCATAAGCCTGACGTCGGACGCCAGGCTGAAACTGCTGCCGTTAGAAACCAACGAGGAATCACAGAGGGACTATTTAGATCTAAGTATTATCGGGGCTTCTTGTAAGTTCACCCGTTTCATCGCTACTACTAAGACGATGCTAACAGAACGGAATTATCGACACATTGCAGTTGTATGAATATCTCCAAATTGACTGAACGGAATTGAAAACCTTTTTATTAAGATTGAAGTAGACATAAAATGTAAATATGCTATACATAAATTTATATGTGAAAACAAAAAAAAATTTTTTAAATTACTTTCTACAGTCACGGCTGGATCTTGATGCCTAATAAATTATATATGAATTTTTAAATCCATTCTTCAGCCATTTAAACTACGCGCCGACTCAATTTCAGACTTTACAACGCAATCGTTAGCTAAAGCTGGAATAGTGAGATCACAATTTTCAATTCTCAAGGGGGTATTCTAGTGTAAAAAAAATTGATTTTTTTGCATATTCTTATAGTCTTAAAAATGTGTCTCTAAAATATTAAGAAATTCGTCAAATTGTCCGAGCTATGGAGGTTTAAAGACGTAGCCCCCGCGCGCGCCCATGCGGTTCGTCGCCCGTGATTCCCATGCGGTAGACGGATTTTTTGCGTGTCAGGTAGTATTTCTTTACGTAGCCAAATGATGTTATATATAGCTGAGAAAGGTATCCTGTACGGCCCTGGTATAGCTGACTAAGGGTAAGTTACTGAAATTACTCATTATCCACCTTGTAAACGCATGAGAAACTTTAAACGCGTTTTTCTCGAATTGACATT